CTTCTTGGAGGCACCCATGGTCAACTTAGTTTTACTCTTACTGTCATGGTACTTCAGGACTAGGGTCTCTTTAGCTAACTCTTTCAGTTTTTCTAATGCTTTATTAAGATTTGCATCCCGAGCTCATTAGACATTTTTGCACACTGGTGCTCTCAGGTTGCTGGTTTGGACAGCTAGATTAGGCATGAATTTCCCCAGTTCACCATTCCAAGGGATCTTTGTTTACCTTCTTTATCTGTTGAGGCAGGCATGCCTCTGCCTTACTGTGCTCTCCCTGCACGCCTTGCGGTGTTAAGTTCTCCCATGGATATATTTTCCATTACATGGAATTTACATTTGTGTTTGTTTGGCTTTAACGCAGCACCTCTTGCTCTTTCCAGGGTTGCCCAAAACCTCTGGTCATGCTCTTCTACTTCTTTTCCCCTGATCAAAACATCATCTGCATAAACTTTAGCACCCTCAATACTGTCAACAATTGTTGTTTTCCTATGAAATATCTCAGGTGGTGAACAGACCCCAAACTGTGTCCCTAAAAGGGGTAGGTTGAATGTGCATGAACATGTGCATGTTTTTTCTGCAGAGCATCTGCCAGAACTCTGCTGACACATCCAGAATTGAAAAATATTTGGCATCAGCCACATCTGTCAACCTTTCTCCCCTCGTAGCTAGTAGGAAATGTTTCCTTTTTTATATATGAATTTAAGTTAGTAGGTTCTGTCTTTTTTCCCCCTACAATGATCAGTTAGTATAGCCACTCTGTTGGTTCTTGTACTCACTCTGATTCCCAAACCAATGGCCCTATCTAGCTCCTCTTTTAGCCTCTCCCTTAGGGCAAAGAAAACTTTCCTTGAGGTATGAGTTGTGGGACAATTAGGCTCTTTCATCTCTATTTTGTATTCTGACTACATCCGTATCCCATCCTCATATTCTTCCTCGATTGTTTTGTTCCCCTGCTTCTCTGATGATTACACCCTCTTGATCAGACCAAGGGCTTGACACAGTTTTAACCCAATAATGGGCTGTCTTTTCCCTGGTACTATTACAAATGTTATATTTTCTACACATTTGTTATTTATCCAGATATCTAGTTTATATAATCTTTTAGTGGGGATAAGACCACCACTATAAGCCCTGGCTTTTACCTGCTTACTTTTCACTATCTGTGACTTTTCTTTTAGTGCTAAAAACACTGTTTCTGGCAACACATTAGTTTGTATACAATGTCCAGTTAAAATTAATAAATGTCCCATTTGATTTCAGGTTGAAAATCCATCTTCTGCTGGAAATAGTGCCCATTTCTCCTATGAAAAAATCCACTGAGATGGTGTTGCTGTCATCATCCTCTTTGTCCATGCTGTGCATACTCTGTTGGTGCTTCTAAACTATTGCAAAGTGATGTAATCTGTTGCATTTCTTGCTCTTTTCTCGTATGTCTGTTCACGACCTAGCTTGTGCTTGTCATCACAGCATGTGCAATTCCTTGTGCTGTTCTTGCTTGACTCTATGAGCACCATGTGCCTTTCTGTCTCAGGTCTCTTTTCTTGTAGTAGTTTGGATTCTCAATCAAGACAATAGTGTCATAATACTGTCCACCCTCAATAAGGTTCTGTCTGGATTGGGTGGCTTCCACTGCTTGGCAAATTCTAATTGCCTTGTCAAGAGTTAATTCTGGATCTCCCAGTAGTCTCTTGAGTTTTTTGATCTGGATTCTAATCACAATCTGATCTCTTAATAGAGACTAAGTTAGTCCCAAAAAATTGCAAAATTGTCTCTTCAGCCTTAGACTATGTCTACACCACTGGCAGCAGCATGTAGTGTGTGTAGCAACATGCTGCAGTGAAAAGCAAGTTATGTCCGCCCTGCAGTGTGTAGCTACATGTTGGTGAAAGACTGGCAACAGGAAGGCTTCAGCAGTGGGGATGCAGCAGGAAACCTCTCCCCCACCTCCCCCCGCTGCCCGCCGGAGCTTTTTCCTGATGCAAGAGTCTTTCCCTATGGCGAGGGAAGGCTCCAGCAGCGGGGAGCTAGTGGATCCTTTCCCCATTGCCTCCCAACCTCTTGAGTTTTTCCCTGCAGTGGGGAGCTGCTCAAGCCTTTCCCCACTGCTGGAGTCTTCCTGTGGTGGGGAATGGCTCCAGCAGCAGGGAGGCAGTGGGATGCTACACTGCTAAAAGTAGTAGGGTTGATAAGGAGGCACAGCTTGGGTGAGTGGAGTGTGTACTTTTGTGCATACCCATGCCCTTCAGGCAAGTCTTTACTCAACTCATTTGAGTTGTGCCTCGCTAGCTACACTGCTATTTATACCTGTGCTGGGGGGCTGCGCATGGGTATGCTTCATGCCCCCAAAGGTTCTTGAAAGAGACCTGCTTTGTTCAGTCACCAATTCCAACTGCATCTGCAAAACAGAACATGGCCTTCTGCAGTGTCCTTCCCACAGCCTTCCCGTCTGGAAAGCTATACCCCTTAAAGGTGCTACAATTCCCAATACCACTGGTGGAACTGCAGCATGAAAGTTACAATTCAACCGTATACATGTATGTGAACTGACAACATTTGATCTGGAATTTTCAGTTTCAGATCCAAAATTTTACAAAGTTTAGGTCTTAGTTCTGATCTCTGTTCTGAAATGGTTTCCCAGTACAGAAAATCACATTTTCATCTTTCCACGTTGTGTATAGTACATCCATCATGTTTAAAGCGTGGGAAAGTCTCAGGTCCGGATCTTTTCACTTTATATACTATAATACTTTTCTCCCAACAGCTTATATGGCCTTTATGTACTCTTATAAACTAAATGGCTACGAGTGGAGAGCACTTCACTAATGGATTGGGAATAATAAAATAGTAGTCATATAATATTATAGTGATACCTTCTATTTTACGGGTTGCCATTATTTCACTTCTTTGACCTTACCTTAAAGAGTTGAAGAAAATTTGCTAAATATTGAAGGCCTCATGTAGGAGCAAAATACCCCACATTTTTTTAAACTAGACTTAATTTATATTAGTGTGGTCATTATTAGGACATTAAAGAACCATGTAAAAGAAGAGAAAAAGACTTTAGGGTCGAATATTCAACAGAGGAAGCAAAATGTATACCATAAACACCTGAATTTTCGTACAAACAAATATTTACATACGCATATCACATACAGGTAACAAAGGTCCTAAGTGACCATTTGTGTGTGCAAATGAGTTATTTTCCAAGTAAATATGCAGTTGCCTATGGTACAATAAATTTTTGTGGGCTCATCTATTGCACTCGTTTTTGAACATTTAGCTATTGGATTTTTTAATCCAACAGTGTAATAACATTTAGATTTTATAATGTAAGTGTCCAGAGCATTAGTTCATAGAATAGATTAGTGAGATTTGGGGACATATTTTAGAATACATGAAGAAGTAGCGAAATTTAAAAAATTTTAAAAAGTGACTTTTGCCTAATGAAGTTTAGAGTCTGCTTTTTTTCCTTTTTAAATGTCCGGCTTCTGTTCCAAGTAAATCAGAGCCATTTATATTCATTGTGTCAATAATCTTCAGATTAGAGCTTCTGAAACATTCATGGAGATGATAGACTGTAACCACCCAGTGATTTGTGTGTTGTAGGTATATACCATGCACTCTAATGGAGATTTTGTACTTGTGTTTAAATTGTGATTGATGCTTAATTTGCTTTGTTTTCACTTAAATTTCACTATTACACTTAAATCACTAGACTTTCATCTCTTTAGGCTATAGGAGAAACTAAGTTTGGCAGCTACTCCCTAGAGAACATTTTCCCATGTTGCTAAACAATCACACAGTGTGGATAGTGGCTGCTCAGGTACCTAAGGATGATGTGCACTGGGAGAACTATGTAGGGAGGGTGTGGAACATTTAGCTAATGTCTGGCATGATATAAGCAACATGAACATTTTCTAACTTTACACCTAAAAATAAATTGTGTCTGTAATATAGCAAGAACAAGCATGTACTGTATCAGAATCCTGTACAGCTAATTAACGAAGTATTGATTAGTGATGTGTATTTTATTGTATTTAACTAAACTTATCTTCAGTTGACAAAAAGTGATTTAAAATTCATATTCCTGAGTACCTTTTAGTAGATTTTTAAACTATTCATATTTTATATCCTCTGGAAAACGTACATGTTCAGATTTCTTCCCAGCAGTTTTAGACATATTTGTTTGTCAAATCATGATTTCTTTTACTTCAGCCCCCTAAAGAAAATGGAGATTTAAAGACTGTCAATTAGTGTATGCAGAGGAAAATGTCATACTGGGACTCCTAGGCACGACAGTAATACAAAAACTAAATAATAATAATAATAACCTGCTGTATAATGATTGCTTACTAGGTGATATGTTTCCTGATAACGAGGCACTGCTTTATGGTTATGGAGATATTGTAGACATTGGTAGTATAGTAAAGTGTGTAGGCTAGATCTTCAGTTGTACTGAGATGTAAGAGAAAGGTGCCTCTAAGACACTTTTCCCATTCTCTTTATCCTGGAGTTGCTGTGGGCTATTTTGGCGCTCAGTGTTAATTTGGAGGAGCCATAACCTAGAGTGCTCTGTGTTCCAGCCCTGTCCCCTCCTCCAGCCACCCTGTCTTCTATCCCCGAAGAAACATAGCTGGCTTTCACCAGTCAAGGATTTCCCCCAATGGAGGAGCATGCATTAGTGTATCAGAATTTGACACTGTGTCAGAAAAGACATAATACGACTCAGGGATTTGGGGGCTCATTTTTGCAAAGCACACACCAAGTTAGTTCCTTTTAAAAATATTTAAGATTTTGATAGGTTGAGATGGGAGTCTGGGTCATTTCTGAGACAATGCAGGAAGAGGTAAGACTTGAAGAAGGGTTTTGAGCAGGAGAGAGAGGTTGTGTGACCTACAGGATTAGGGAAGGCAGTCCATAGATATAGGAATTGTAGGTTATATTGCCATTCTGCTTTAAATTGATTTTACTTGGATTTGGTTCTTTTTCTGTCGTTGCAGGAGCTCCATCACTACTGTTTACATTGAGGTACTTCCTCCAAACAATCAGAGCCCTCCCCGCTTTCCCCAGCTGATGTACAGTCTTGAAATCAGTGAGGCCATGAGAATTGGTGCCATTTTGTTAAACTTGCAGGTACAGAATACTTCAGTGTAAGCCTTTACACAGCTACTTCTGTTTACATGTGTGATGCTCAGGGTCCTGTCCTCCTCCTGTAGAGGTCAAAGTGAGGATTAAAATCTATTTCGTAACAAAGACATAGCGCATAAGAAAATGCTGACTTGGCATTTTTGTAACATTTCAGATTTCCATCATACCAAAATATATTCATGCATAGCTTTTAACCAGCCTTTTGCTCAGAAGTGTGATAAAGAATAATAGGTTATATTTAAACTTTTCATTGAATTTAATATTTGTGTAGGTTGTCAGCATAAAAGCCCTGGATATTGAAGGGCTTGTATTTATCCACCAGGCAGTTACAGTGGTTATGCAAACTTCCCTATAATGATTCACTAGTCTCAACAGAAATGTGTCCATTTCTGTGTCCATTGATTCCTTAGCCTCTCTGCTGATACTGCCAAAAAGGAGGCCAGTTGTGTTTATTGTATCTGCCCACTATGAAGTTCACTGACACTAACAGCTCATTGTTTCACATGTATTATGACTATTCAGTTGTGTAATTACTTTCAGACACTGCTGACTGGAGCTTGATTTGAACCAGTGACCCAGAGGCAAAATGTTCAATGTCCCAGTTAGAGTCCTCTGATGTCTCATAACTCGGGACCTACTATGCCCAGAATCAACAAGCTTTTCCAGATAGGAAGCTGAGAATCTTCTCTCTTTCTAGTGGTTTAAAATTCCTATTTCTGTTCCTGAGCAGTCATGGTATTGGACCACTGAACCTGTCAGTGGAAAAGGGCTTTACCTCTGAGGCATGTGATTTTGGGAGGTAATTCCACATTTAGGGAAGGAAGAAGGAAATGTGTGTGTGTGTGTGTGTGTGTGTGTGTGTGTTTTTAATTGCTGCTATTTGAAGGTGCTCCGAAGTTAGCAATGGAGTAGATGGATTAGTGGGCAGGGTACAGCTGAGGTGGTCCCAGATGTATGTAAAATGCAATTCCATGTGGTCCTGCAGTTCCTTACATGACTCCAAAAGTCGTTATATGTTGTATCACTACATATAGGCTATGTCTACACTATGAGCTGTGGGTGTGATTCCCAGCTTGCGTACACATATGCTACCTCAGTGAGACCTAGCGCAAATGGAAATAGTCATACAGCCACTAGCAGCACAGGCAGAGGAAGCAGCAGCGTGGCTTAGCTGTGCCAAGTGCAAACCTTCCTCAACCCAGTAGGCATGTGTATGTGTATGTGAGCTGGGAATCACACCTCTAGCTCATAGTGTGGATGTAGCCTTATTGTGTGTCTAGATAGAATACAGTATGTGAAATCATTATAATATACTCACTTTGAGCCTGATTCTCTTCTCAGTTTGCTATTTTTATGCTGTTGTAGAATCAGGCCCTTGTAATAAATGCAGCACAAAACCATGAGTTTTTCAATAAATCTGGGCTGGAGTTTTTAAAGAAGCCTAAAAGAAATAGGCATCCCTATCCCAATTGGATTTAGGCAACTAATTCTCTTAGGCTCATTTAAAAAACTTAGCCTGAATGTATTTATCCCAAATGGAGTTTGTGCTAATTGTTGTCATTGGGTAACTAAAACTCAGTAGTGCAAAATAGTAAGAGATAGCATTTAGGGCTGTCAAACTATTAAAAGAATTGCAATTAATCGTGAGGTTTAAAAAATTGTCATGATTAATTGCAGTTTTAATCACACTGTTAAACAACAATAGAATACCAATTTAAATTTATTATAAATATTTTTGATGTTTTTTCTACATTTTTCAAATATATTTATTTCAATTACAACATAGAATACAAAATATACCGTGCTCATTTTCAGACAAGTACTGTAGTACAATCTCTTTATCGTGAAAGTGCAACTTACAAATGTAGAATTATTATTATTTTACATAACTGCACTCAAAAACAAAACAAAGTAAAATTTAAGCGCCTACAAGTCGAACCGTGAAGGGGCATAAGAATGTTTTCATATCTGACTTGTAAATACCTTGCAACCCCAGCTGCAGCAATGCCATGCGAACACCTGTTCTTACTTTCAGGTGACATTGTAAATAAGAAGCGGGCAGCATTATCTACCATAAATGTAAACAAACTTTTTTGCCTTACCAATTGGTTGAACAAGAAGTAGGACTGAGTGGACTTGTATGAGGTGAATTGAAAAATACTATTTCTTTTGTTTATCATTTTTACAGTGCAAATACTTGTAATAAAAATAATAATATAAAGTGAGCACTGTACACTTTGTATTCTATGTTGTAATTGAAATCAATATATTTGAAAATGTAGAAAAACATTCAGAAATATTTATAATAAATTTTAATTGGTATTCTATTATTGTTTAACAGTATGATGAAAACTGCGATTAATCACAAGTATAATTTTAATCTAATTAATTTGTTTTGCTTTAATCAAATGCCGTAACTGCAATTAATTGACAGTCCTACTAGTATTGCTTGGACAATTTTGACCCGAGAACTCAGTCTGTAGTGAATGAGGCCCACATACCATAGTCTGGTTACCTCAACAGAATGCAGATGCTCAAAGGAATAGAATCAGAGACAGTGGACTAGATCATCAGCTGGTATAAATAGCATAATTCAATAGAGCTCCACTGAATGGAGCTACGATACTCATCAGAGGATATGGCTCTGTATGTTTGCCATTTTCAGTAAATTTATTGAAAACAAATGTTCTAAACCAGAATGAAATAGAGGAACTTTAACTGAGTCTGATTCATGCAGATGCATGGGGAAACTTTCTGTTAAATAGTGTGCTGAACCCCTGACAAAAGATTAGCATAATTATGGATGGTTAAACAGACACAAACACCCACACTGAGAGAGGACAAATAATTTAGCCCAACACTGAAAGTTACCTTTTGGCACACTTTTACTGCCTGTAGTGTGTTTTAGAATTACACAGCCCAGCTCTTTTGGATAATTTTCATAGCCAATCATAAGCTAGTTGTCTCTGAAAGCATTGAAAAAAGGGAGCCAGCAGCAGGCTGAATCAGGAATAGGCATTAAACTGGCAGCTGCTCTAATGCAGGAATATGCAATCCTTGAGGCTCAGGTTATCTTGTAAGTAGCAAACCTTAGCTAGTTTTAGGATATTGGATAATGCAAACACAGTTTTGAAAAAGTAAATAGAGTGTTGAAATGAGCATTGCCCTTTTCCCAAAGTTTCCAAATTAATTTTCAATATTTGTTTGTAAATGTTGCATTGTAATATCAAGTTTTGTAATCAGAAATTTAAAACAAGGGTTTATTTAATCTAGTTAAAATTATCTTTAGGAAAACATGTCAGGCCTAAATTACATTTGTAGAGAAGGGGTGATATTAGCCATGCCAAAGGGGGCATGAAAAAGTCATGATCCTTAAATCCCTTCTCAGTGACTTGGTCAGCTATGGAGGGGAGCATTTAGATGGTGTAGCTAGCCATGGCCACACTCCCATTACGTACCAGAGATCCCCAGATATTATCACTAAGGATATTTTGAAAAGAGCATAAAACATTCTAATTATTAAAGAACAGTGCTTTGAAAATTAAAAAAAACACCTTATTATAATATACATTCAAATTATAACTTTGTATTGTATAATGTGTATCCTGACACACAGCATGGCATATGTGTAATATTTTATTATTAAATTCAAATAAGATATTGCAATATTTAAGCAAAATATTTAATGGTTAAATCACAAATATATCTAATAAAATTTGTCCAAAGTCTGTTTGTCTTGAACATGTGTCGTTTCCATTGAGATCAAAGAGACTGCTTGTGATTTTAAAGGTTAAGCACATGCATAATTGTTTGTAGGATTGAGACCTTGTTTTGTTTGGTAGGATGGAAGTGAGAAGTATTGGAAACAAAAAAACCACATTTTAAATCCTTGTTCATTTAATTCACTTTTGTTAATTTTTGACACAAGATTATGATGACAATAGCCAGGAAAGACCAGCTTCTTTTGAGAGCAGGTTCTTTAATTTTTTTCTGAACTATGTGACTCCTAAGGCCTTGCAATGTATTTCAACTCCTAATAAGTAATCCTCGATATTTCAAATATACCCAATAGCTACATACACTTAAAAATTCCACTTTATTGGATATTCTAATTGTCAGTTCCTTCTATTAACACACACATGAAGGAAAGTCCAATTTATTTTGTATGCTAACTCCACATATTTTAAAATGTACCCAGTTGATTACAACTGGTATTTTAATAGCAACAATCAAGATTACCTTAAGTAACGCAGCAATAAATAATCCCCACTGTGTTATTTGGTAAATAAGACTGCGTTTATTGCATGCCTAGAAGCTGTTTATTACTTCACATTCTGCCAGCCATTGTTGATTAAAGCTTAAGTATGCAAATGTTCTCATTTTCTTGAGATTTCGATAAACAGGAATAGAGCAATTACCATCTTATTGAGGTGTGCTCTACAAGCAGGCAGCAGGCAGTTATTCTCTAGGGGTGGCAAAATGGGTGCATTTAATTGATCTTGAAATATACAGGTGTCAAAATACAATTTTATTTAATCAGCTGATCCAAATTTAGAGAGAGATGATTTTTATTGGGTTGTGAATCTTCAGTTTTCTTTGTGTTTTTACATGATGTACTTATTTGAATGTAATTGATTAAGATCATACATAATTTATTTTGCTATTACTTGTGCATTTTAAAGAAGCACATACGAACCTACCAAATCAGTAATAAGTGCATTTCCAAGTTATTGGGGAAAGGGGGAGTGTCTTTGTTTCTTGTGTGTGAGAGTCTGGATTCAAGAAGAGAAGGGGGAAAAAAGCTGCCAATGTTGCAAATTTGATCGACAGTCAGGATAGTGAATTTGTCAACTATGATGGGGAAACATAAAGGGTTCTGAAAAGTAACAGAAAAACAGTGACAGTTAAGAGATGTGATGCCAGACAGAGGGGAAAATGTTAGGTGTGTAGAGAGAGAGATTTAAGACTCATCAATATAAAAATGATGTTGGAGACCATGGAAATTAATTGAATATTAGAGCTTCTTAAAAATATGGCGTTTTCCACAACAATTTTTGTCAGATAATTTTTCCCCATTTTTTGCTTAAAAAAATGAAATTTTATTGTCCAGCTCCCTGACATGGAGATGAGTGTAGAGGAGACAAAGGATAGACCTCTGGGAACACCAAACAAAGTGAAAGAGAAGGAAGTGGATCCATCAGAGCTAAGGTTGAAGAAGCAGTCATCAAGACAGGCAAAAAAACCAGGAAAGGGCAGAAACATAGAAGTCCAAAAAAAAAAAAAAGAGAACATTAAAATGAAACTGGTGCTCAAGAGTGTCAAAGGCAGCAGACAGATTAAGGCGGATGAGTATGGGAAAGAGACTGTTACACTTGGAAAGGAAGAGGACAGTTTCAGTGGAGAGGACTGTAATTATTTATGCAAAGTGAAAGAACTCCAACAGGGGTGTTTGAGAGAGACCCATCCCTGAATAGCCAACAACATGGTGATTAGAGGCCTCACCTGGGATGTGGGAGACCCTTACTGAAGTCCTCCATCTCAATCAGGCAGAGTGAATGCCTTACCCACTTGGCTATATGCTATTCTGGGGTCTCTCCCTTGTTTTTTTTTTTTTTTTTTTTTTTTTTTCCTGGACCTGAGAAACCTTTCTTAATTACAGTTTCATCAAACAGATTTCATTTTGACTGATCATCATTTTTTGACCCCCAAAAATTGTCAAAAAATTCCCAACCAATTCTTCTCTTAAAGAGATATTTGAAAGAGGAGAGGGTAGTGGCTTACAGAGCAGTCTGTGATTGCTGCTTTATACAAAAAGGGCAGCATGGGAAAAAAGTGTAAAGATACTTACGCTTTGGGCAGTCAAATGTGGCAAAACTGGTGGAGCCGAGAGGCTCAAGAGCGGATCTAACTTGTGTCAAATGTCTGAAGCCCATCAGAGATCATATGCCATCTTGGGATTGCCAGAACACAAGGAAATGCAGCCACTTCTTCACCCAAAAGCCAACACATACCTTGTGCCAAGGGCTTTGGGAAGAATATTTAGGAGCCTACTCTGTCAGCTCTATACCTGATGGAGATTCCCCCATGCCAGAGGAATCACCAGCAGGGAAACTGTGTATCTGCTTGATTTGTACTGCCTCAAAAGATTGATTGTTGCCTCTTGAACTTTTTAAAATAATGTTTGGCCCTCAGGCTCAAAAGGTTGGACCCCACTGCAGCCCATCATCAGTTACCAGTTGAGGGGGGATTTGTTAGCAGCCTTCAACTACCTGAAGGGGGTTCCAAAGAGGATGGAGCTCGGCTGTTCTCTGTGGTGGCAGATGACAAAACAAGAAGCAATGGTTTCACGTTGCGGCATGGGTGGGGAGAGTCTAGGTTGGATATTAGGAAACAGTATTTCACTAGGAGGGTGGTGAAGCACTGAAATGGGTGACCTAAGGAGGTGGTGGAATCTCCATCTTTAGAGGTTTTTAAGGCCCGGCTTGACAAAGCCTTGGCTGGGATGATTTAGTTGGTGTTGGTCTGCTTTGAGCAGGGGATTGGACTAGATGACCTTCTGAGGTCTCTTCCAACCCTAATATTCTATGATTATGAGTTTTACCATCACAATCTTTCAGCGAAAACAAAAAAAACAAAAGAAATCCCCTTTTGTTTTTCACTTTTATAAATGGGTCTACTAATAACATTAGTTTTTTTGCAGACTATATATAAGTTTTTAAAAAAAAAACTATTATGAGGATGTAGAAAATAGAATTAAATTCTTCTGGCCTTTCACAGCATTTGTATTCTTCCTAACTTACACTAAAATCTTGTCAATTATGTAAACTATCTTCTATTTTTAAACCAGTTACGAGAGATGTTTATTAATGTCAACATTCTTTCAAGTTTGCTTGGACAGCTTTTGAGAGAAAAGTATTTGTGCAGTTTGCAGAGCTTATTCAGTAGTTATCTTCTGGTATGTGCTTGGTTTGCAAATTCCAAGAATTCACACGTCAAGTTTCTTGTTGTTTTTCTTCTTAAAACAGCCACTCAACATGTGAAGTTCAGGTTCATGGAAACAATTTCAAGAGCAGTTCTGTTAATCTAAATATCAAATCAGTTGTTTCAAACGTTGTTTTTTAGGGCATTAAAATTTGCCCAGGGAAGGTAACAACGGCATGGACAATTATTATTGTGAAATCATTTTTTGAAAGTATTGTTATTAGCACAGTTTCTGGTTCTCATCCTGATCTTCCGGGATGCCCCAGGAACCTGAAAGAAAAGTCAGAAGGGTTGTGATTCAGGGGTGAGGGTCAGTTAGAGAAACATCAGCAAAAGGATTGAGAAAGATGGCAAACAAAACAACCAGAAAGTAAAGTATCTGGACGAGAAGAATAGGGGAAAAGTCCCTCCCTGAGGGTTGTCAAGGAAATGTCAGGATTTGGTCCAATCAGAATATATTTGCACAGCCCTTAAAAATAATAGAAAACATAAGTACTTAAATAAATCATAAATTTCATATGCTACTTGTTCATACTGGTGGTAATAATTTGAAAGTGTATATTTAAAATAAAATATTTTTGTATGTGTTCAGAATATTGATGTGATGCAACTGCATAGTGAATACTGCACATACAGCCATAGCTGATAAAATGGAAACAGTAAGCACTGATTCCTCTTGAAAAGATACTTAATACTTCAATGGGTTGATTTTGAAGGTTAATTTTACAGCATCTAGATTGAACAGCACTAACCAGCTTTGTTAGCATCTATGACTATAACATATTATTTTGATTGTTTTTCTGAAGGCCACTGATCGAGAGGGTGACCCAATAAGATACCTCATCCAAAATGGAGATCCTCAACATGTTTTTAATCTCTCTGAAACGTAAGTGGAAAACCCGTTAGAACTGAATTTTTAATTCTTCTGTCAAATGAATATATAGATTGTGAGCAAGAGAAACGACTCCTAATCAGAGGTGTTCAGCTGTTTGTTGTTCAGCTCTTAGCTGTTAATGAGAGCTCACTCGGTGATACTGAGCTCTGAAATTTTACACAGGGGACTATTTATTTATTTTAAACATTTTACTAGCTAAAACCTATTGAAGTGGAAACATTCCATTTACAAGAGTGACCTGGGATTAATTAGATGCCTTTAAAGTTGTCAGCCTTTTGCTAATGAAAGGGATATTTTTACTTACTTTCTAACTTTGAAAAATACTACTCTGTAATGAAAAGGAAGATTTTTTGAGCTATTATTTTAAAACTAGATATTTCAGATACCAGTAAAATGGGAAACATTTAGCTTTTCCTAAGGTTGAAAATCTCCTTAATTTTAGTAAGAAGAGGATATGTTATTAGATACAAGCACCAGATAGTGCCCCCCATTCTTTCATGTGCCTGCAATTTACATCCTGCCATTCTGCCAAATGTTATTCCTATTCAAAGGGAAAGGGAGGGTAAGCTGACTTCCCCCTTGCAGAGAATGGGAAGAGAGTAAGCAGGGGTGGAGGGAAGAGGAGGGCTTTTGTTAGGGGCTTATATGTTAATCTAATTTAATCAGGTTTAAGGAGTAAGTGAAGAATTGCAGAGACTTCCTTACACCAATGTGAATATACCAAAATAAAAGACAATAGATCCATTAAAGTTCAACCCCTAATGTTTGGATGGGATCAGCTAATCTAAATTTAATGTATTTTTTAGGTGACCTTTACCTTGGTCTCTAAGCACTAACAACATTATGTAAAAAGGTAATTGGTAATGGGCTCCCCGATTGGCTACCCCACCTGACTTCAACTCTGACCCTTGGCTCTTCCATTTTGCTCCCAACTTTGGTTCTGACCCTGGGTTCTGATTCCTAGCTACCAACTCCTGCGCTAGCCATGAGGCCTGACTCCTGCTCCAACTGCTTGGCATGACTGCCTACATTCCAATCATGGACATGCTCTGAAGAGAGTGTTGGTTCTCAGGAGAAATGCCTACAAGGCTGTAACCTCTGGGGGAGGGCCTGCATTGTTTTTGAAATAAACCCCACAGGTGTGGCCATTAACTAACTTCACCTTCCACTACCAGGGTTTCAATGTATATATGTGTGAGGGTAGTCATTGCTGGAACAAGCGTTTATCAAAACCGTGGGCTTTTATTATGACTGTAGTCTAAACTCTACTGGCACACAGTTCCAAAGTTGGTGTCACTTGCTACACAACACTCGGTCCTCAGTATCTAAGTGTTTGTCTCCACTGCAATAAAAGACCCATGGACATGGTCACAGCTGGCCTGGGTCAGCTGATTTAGGGTCACAGGGCTCAGGGTGTGAGGCTATAAAATACCAGCGTAGAGCCTGGGCTCTAGTCCGAGCCTGAATATCTACACTGTTGTTTTTAGCCCTGCAGCCTGAACACTGCTAACCTGAGTTAGCTGACCCAGGCTCTGAGATTTGGTGACACAGGTTTTTTATTGCAGGTACCCTAAGAGTCATATTCTGTGTGTCTTCAGGTGCATTGTCCCTGTTGGACACAAATCTATTTAAGATATTCATGACATCAATTCATTGAAGATTTTTTTGGATTAAGACCAAGACTAAGATTTTGAATTCAGTCAGGAAACAAATTAGGAGACACTGGAATTTGTGGGAAACTAGTGTGTTGTGCTCTCATCATCATCAATCAATCAATCATCATCTTATTATTATTTCTCAGTATTACACATAGGGATGTTTTGTTTTGTTTTAAACAAATACCCTTCATAACATACAAGATATTTAAGCATAAAAAGGGAAAAGCTACTGTTTAACATTTATCTCCAGGAGTCACCAATAAATCCTGACCACGAATCAACTCTGTAGGTTTGGGTACTCAGATGTTTTGTTTAAACCTCTGCAGAATTCCAGCATTTTAGTTGTTCAAGTTCACTTGTTTGCCTTTTACTTTCCTTAAAATTCTGCTCTGCCTGAGAGTGCTGTCTTCTGGACATCACCGATTGTGATGTCTTGCACTCCTGTCATGTTCTTGAGGTCTCATTCATACCCTTAAGATTCACACCAAGTGTTCCAGTAATCACTAGGATCGTTTTTGTTCTAGTTTTCATAATAGTTTTACTTTCATACTTCACTATCTTCTCTTTTTTTTTCATTTTTATGTTTCTGTCTGCTGCTTTGGCACCTCAATTCATATGGTGTTGTTTGTCTTCTTTTTACAACAACTATCAATCCCATTTGCCCGCAATGTGACAATTGCCAGATCCCTTAGAATCTTAGCCTCCTCGAGTGTGCTTTCAATTTGGTGGTTGTAACACTGCACGGTTCTTTAAAATGCATACTTGCCACAGAGGCTCCAGTGTAGACACTTGGTAGCCTCATTTTGTCTGTTTACATAGTCTCTCTAAGCTGGCTCCCACAGGAACCCAACACTTTAGTTTTTAGTATTTTATTTTATTTTATTAACATAGCATTTAGGAGCCCCACTTATGGACTAGGACCCATTGTGCTAGGCATTGTACAAATATAGGACAAAAAGATACAAATACAGGACAAAAAGGCAGTCCATGCCCGAGACAGCTTAGTTGCTTGGGTGATTGGCTGTGCATTCTACCCCAGCAGCAGCCTCCATACCATAGTTGTATAGAGTCTCTGGTACAATGATAAAAGCTTGGGTCCTTAGAGTGACTGGGTCCTTAGAGAGGAAAAGTTGTGCTTTCCTAGCCATCTTAAGATAAAAGGCAATCCACGCAACTGTAACCATCTGTGTATCAAGAATAGTGAAGAGTCCAGTATAGCCACTAAGTTTTTCCATCTTTCATGGTGTGTGGTCTGTTGTTAGAGTATTGTCAAATTTCTTTGAAGAATATCCCCCTTCGTACCATCGTCACTTCTGTCTTTTCTGGACTGAGTATGAGCTAAGTTCTCTTTCTCCATCCACTGATTTTTTCCAGGCATTGAGACATCTTGTGCAGAAAATGTATTGATGGTCAGCAAAATATATAGTTAGTGTTATCTACATGTTCTTGACATAGGAGTGACGTCTCATAGCCTCTTATAGATATTCATAGATTTTAAGGTCACAATCATTATCACCTAGTCTGACCTCCTTCATAACATAGGCCACATCACCCACTAATTCAGTGAAACCAGATTGATTGATGTAGAGTCTATCTTTTAGAAAGGACATCCAATCTTGACTTGTTCTGCCAAGTCAAATGCTATTTGATTATGGTGGAGTAAGAGCACAATATAGGAATAGCAGCATGTCCCTGCGATTGTTCCAAGAATCTTTTTATTGTTCCAAGTCATTTACATTAGATACTTTTCTTAAGAGCCCAGATGCACTTAGGACCCAAGCCAAAGACCATTGAAATTACTTGAAAGTCTCCCATTTATTTTAATTGGAGAAGGATGAGGTCCTTAAATAGGAAGCTTTTTCATACGTTTCAATTTAGGTAATTGTGTGGAAGCTTCAAAGCTTGCCTCTCACACCAACAGAAGTTGGTCCAGTAAAAGATATTACCTCAACCAGCTTGTCTCTCTAATCTAGGTAATTGTGAGTGTGAGTAAGGCTGACTCACCACTATGTGCCCTTTGGAAGTAACCACACAGTGGGGTGAATTGATGCGGTAATAGTTTAAGTACTAAATGACCAGCTAATTAATTGGGTGATTCTGCTTCTCAACTGGAAACAGTTGAAAGAGAGGCAGCGTGAGACAGAAGTGAGTAGAGAAAGCTGGAAGGAAGGGTTAGGGCACGTCTACACTGGCAAAGTTACAGCACTGGCAGTTATAGTGCTGGTCAGAGAGTGCAGAAGGAAAACAGCTGTTGTGTGTTCACACTGACAGCTGCTTGTGCAATAGTGTGTTCACGCTTGCGGCACTTGCAGCGGTATTCGGAGTGGTGCATGCTGGGCAGCTATCCCACAGAGCACCTCTTTCTCTTTTGCCACTAAGACTTGTGAGAAGGCGGAGGGGGTTGTGGGACATCCCAATGCCCCATGATACATTGCTTCACATCCCAGAAATCCCTGTGCTTCCGTCTGCATTTGGCATCATCTTTCAACAGTTTGTGTACTGCCCTGCCTCTTTCGAGCTGCAGGAATGGGTCCCGAACTGCTGACCAGTATGCTGCTTGCTCTGACCAACATGTCACGAGTAGCAGTAGAGTTATTCCTTAAACTGCAAAGGCAAGAGGAGTGCGACATTGATCTCGCCACATATAGTAGCTACGTCACGAGATTGCTTGTGGCACTGAGTGGTGGGATCACATTGTGATGCACGTCTGGGATGACGAACAGTGGCTGCAGAACTTTCGCACGAGGAAAGCCACATTCATGGGACTGTGTGATGAGCTCGCCCCAACCCTGCGTTCAAGGACATGAGAATGAGAGCTGCCCTATCGCTGGTGAAGCACATGGTGATTGCATTGTGGAAGCTGGCTACTCCAGACTGCTACCAATCGGTCGGTAACCAGTTTGGAGTGGGAAAGTCGACCGGGCCATTAATCGCATCCTGCTCCAAAAGACCGTGGCTCTCGGCAACGTGCATGACATTGTGGACGGCTTTGAACAAATGGGCTTTCCTAACTGTGGAGGGGCGATAGATGGCATGCACATTCCAATTCTGGCACCAGACCAAGTAGCCACAGAGTGCATTAATCACAAAGGGTATTTCTCAATGGTTCTCCAGGCACTTGTGAATCACCGTGGGCGTTTCACAGACATTAACGCAGGCTGGTGCATGATGCACACATCTTTCGGAACACTGGCCTGTTCAAGAAGCTGCAAGCAGGGACTTTCTTCCTGGACCAGAAGATCACCATAGGGGAAGTTGAAATGCCCATTGTGATCCTGGGAGACCCCGTCTACCCCTTAATGCCGTGGCTTATGAAGCCATACACGGGGCAAT